GTTGAAAGGACGTATACTTTCATCAGCTTAGAGCATCTGTTTTTTATTCTTTAAAAAGAAGCAACACCTCAAATTATGGCAGTCCCCAGGCAAGTAAGCACTTGAGATTTTGATCTGTACAGATTCTCAGAGGGAGTGCCTCACAGGAGCTTTTAGCAGTGATTTGTAGCGCTTGACTGATTCGGTAGAATGACAGTTGATTTTTGTGGGGAAGGGGAGAAGGAGGCAAAGATAGTTAAGGAACTGCTCTGTGAAACAACGAATAAGCCGTTTCTCTCATACCCGAGGAGAAATGGAAACTGTACTCAGCAGACTCTGGAGACCAAATTAAAGCAGATAGGAAATGAAAACTAAATTCCATGTTTTTTATTTTTAACTCAGTACCCACCTCCAAAACATTCATACGGTGCAGGCTCTATGCCGGGTTTTCTTCCCCCTCTTTTATACAGATTTACTTTTTTTTATGGTGGTAAAAGATACTTAACATAAAAGTTACCACGTTAAACCATTTTTAAGTGTGCATTTCAGTGGCATTAAGTACATTCACCATGTTGCGCAACCATCACTACCACCCTGTATAGAGGTACTTTTTATTATAGGAGCAGTTTCCTAAATTGAGCAAATGAAGAAAGGAAATATCTTCCCTAGCCCCTCCCAGCCCAGGATAGCCACGGTTAGAGTTAAGATGTTAGCCTCCAAGTCTTTCCTCTTATTTATCTGATTTTGTGTAGACCTACTTGCAACAGAGAATTTTAGAGTCAAAAGGGAATTTGAAGATGGTTCACTCCATACCCCCCTACACACCCTTTTAGATGAAGAAATGCATGGCTGAAAGGGACAATGGCTTGCCGAGCTGGACAGTGGCCCGGCTGGCCCAGTGTCCAGGCCCTCTATCCCCTGAGTCCCATTCCCTGGGCTAGTCTGTTGTTAGATTCAAAATGTGTTATAAAAAATTCATTGGGTGGTTTATTTTTAGGGGAATCTTTCTTTTTTTTTTTCTCTCTCTTTTGTTGTGTGGTTTCTGTGTCTGGATTTTTTTTTCTTTTTTTAATGGTATATTCAAACAGGCATTTGTCTTATACCAGAACATTGCAGCGTGTGTGCCAGGCTTGGGCTTGTCACTCAGTACCCTGACGTTCTTCTCTAGGCTTGCTTCTGTTCAGATATTACTATGTCCAGGATGTTGCTGCTTTTTTGTTTTTCCATTTGTTTTGCTGATTGTAGTAGAACCAAAGTTTAAAGGTGATAGTAGTTTTCTCAAGTTGGGCTTTTAGCCAGTTTCTTTTCCTTCTTCAGATCTGTTTTCCACTTAGAAATGAGGTGAAAACTCACAGAAACAGAGCCTGGCAGCTAAAAACAGCACACCTGCTTACCACTTGACACCCTTTGGGCTGATCTGCAGCTTAGGTCTCATTGCTGTCGTCTGCCCAGCTCCTGAATTCCCATCAGTGGGCAGTTTTCACCTCCTCCTGCCCACGTTTGGAGGTCTGTGGGTGGTGGTTAGGAAGCTGAAGGAGGCCGGAGGCTGGGGTATATTGTTTGGGTCGGCCATGGCAACCGCGGCAGGAAAAGGAACAGGACTCGTTGTGTGCTGCTCTGTAAATGGCCAGGATTCAGCTGCTATCTCAGGACTCCTGCTCAGCCCCAGACAATCTGATCTCCTGGTAAGGTTATTAAACTTGGCTCTCCTCTCCTGCCCTCCTTTGATCACATTGACAGCCAGTGAGTAGAAATGGCCGGGGGGGGGGGGGAATGGGGAGGGGGTACAGAGTGCAGGGAGACTTGCACCCACCCGGCAGAACAGGGGCTGTGTTCTTGTCACATGTGCACCCCAGATGCAGAGAGGCGTACCCCCAAATCCTTGCCTGCACTGTTCTTCAGGGTTGAGCCCCTCGCTCCAAAGAGCCTGTCTAAATTGCCACTTTGACCAGCAGGAAGGAGCCGAAGGAAGGGCCAGTCCTGGAAGACCCCAGATTTTGTCTAGCTGGGGAAGCATTATTTGAGTTTCTCTGCTGAAAAGCATGAACTGCCTACCACATGTATTTCATAAAAATGTCATTGAAAAGGAGAGTGAGAATACAGAGTAAGCTTCCATGGCTTAATAATAGTTTATTTTGTGTCTCGGAATAGCTTTTCTTTTCATTCAGCAGATCATTTTAGGTGTCATTCAGTTTATTTTAAGTAGTGTGTTTCATCCTGAGCGGATTAAGCATTTTATTTTTTAAACTCTGTACTGTGTTGCTTCCTACTGGGAAATTTACATTTTTTTTTTTCATGTTGGTGAGTAAAACCTATTCGGTCAAGAAGAATGGCCCATAATTAGTGCTGAATTCTGAGTGTTTTCAGAACATTCAGAACACTCAGACAGAGTTGATTCTTATTCAAAATCATGCATCTGACATTTCATTTGGGGAAGTCTGAGGAAGTTGGTGAGGTCTTATGTTAATAAAAACAAGGCCTCTTTTTCTTCTTATCACCTTTCAGTATCTGCTCTGCTGGCTCATGCAGTGTGGTCTGGCTTAATTCTCCTTGGAAGTCACATTGTGCTTCAGAACTCTGTTTGCTATGACCCACAAACAGCTTTCAGGCTTCACTCTGATGAGTCAAAGGTAAAACTATGAATAAACAAACAGTGAAACAACATCTCCACTTTTCTGAATTCAGTACTCTCTGAAACAGATTTGCAGTCTGGCTCTGAATTCAAGGGACATGGTTTGTTCTTCCCTACTGCTAACCGTCCACATTTCCACTCCCCTTTTGTTTTTATTTTCCTTGTTTTACTAATATAAATGACAAGGAAATAGTTACTCAATTTGTAAAACGTTGGGTGGTGAGGTCACAGATCCTGAGATGAGCTTGAAATTTGTAACTGTTTCTGATGGGTGGCACCAAGATTTTGCTTGCTTATTTCTGAGCTGTTTGTGTTGGTTTTTTAAATACAGTTTAATAGCGAGTAACAGAAAAGCGTCTTTCTGCTGTGGAGCTACTGAACCCTTGAAACATAACAAATCACCATATACAGATGAACTTCCAGCAGCCACATATTATTTCTTGTCTAGTGGTAAACTGAACATTGAACAACAGACAACAAAATAAGACTTTTTCTGAAAGTAAAAAGCAAATATTAATTTCTGGACAAAGTTTGTGTTGTACAAGTTAAATATTTTTTATTCTTTTTCTGGTTATTTTTTTTTGACATATTTGAGATATTTCTGCCTTTTAAAAAAATCAGCTTAGTTAAAAAAGGAGGCAGTTTTAAATACAGTTCATTTTATTGAATTGGAAAGATGGTCCCAGAATTTTAGAGCTGAAAGGACTTTCGTCTAACCTAATGTTCTAATTTTACAGGGGGGAACTCTGAAGCATAGTGAGGTTAAAGGACCAACCTTGCAACACACAGCTTGTTCTGGTGGCTGAGTCAGAAAACCACCTCTTCAGATTCCTCAGTTAGGGCTTTTTCTTTATTAGGCACATCTTTTTGTTTCAGTTAGGATCTTTTGTTTTTTTTTTCATCATTGAGATTATTTTAAAAATTAGTTTGCCTTGAAAATTTAATATTTCAACTTAATTGTTCTCATACTTCAAGAAGAACAAAAAAACTTCGGAAGTATCACCACCATAAACTGTGTAAAGTGTATATATAGAGAGATGCTGACCAGTTTTTAATGATGGCACATGTGCCATTAGTTATTAATCCACTTGAGAAAAAGGCTTATTTGTTTAAGAAAAGCCCAATGGTGTGTTAGGTTTAAGCCTAGAACAATGAAGCATCACCTCCTAGGTACTAGAATTAAGAGTGGGAGGGTAGGGAGTGGTTGGTACTATGTTAATACAGCAATAGTTCAGCAAAGTCCTTCAACAACAGCCTCTGATGATAGAGCGATGTGTTTAGACTTGAAGGTTCTTCAGATGCTGTTCGAATAACTAATGAACACAGTTAATTTGCAATGCAGGTGAAAAGTTAATAACCACTGAGTAGTGGAACTGGTTGCTGCTCTTTTTTTTTTTTTTTTCTTTCTTTTTTTCCATGTTACCTCTATGGCCTGATCTCTTGCTGCACCTTTGGAAGGGATAATTGGAATGGGCAGATACTCTCTCCTGGTGCTTCTAGCAAGAGGAAGGCACTGCAGAAGGATGGTACAGTCTCAGGAAGGGACCTCATTCTGTTCCTTGGGGCAAAGCTTCCCACTGCCTGGGTGGGTCTTTTCCTAGTGTAGACGGGGAAACTGGATGGCTATTTATTGATTAGGACAGTATCCATGTCCCACTGGTTATCAGGACTTGACTATTTATACTTAGGTGCTATAAGGAGACTTATTTAATATTGTTTAATCCGTGTTTGGCTTTGTTAGAAGGGTTTAAAATATTTAGAAGGAAGAAATGTTTGGTTGCTTTGAGAAGGCAGGTGGATCATTTAACTAGAGAGAGCAGTGCCAAATAAGTCAATTAAAAACATTTGGGGAGAGTAAGCCTAGTGAGAGTGTTGCTTTTTTATGAATGATTTGGGGAGAGGTGGGCAACTATGAGGAAAAAGCATAGAAAAAAAGAATTTGAGAAAAAGAAAAAGTTAGGCTTAGCTCTTCAGAGCGGACCAGGGGAAAAAAAGAAATTTAAGTGGCAAGAATTTAAGATAAGCTCTAGAGAGTTTAAAGTACCAAAAAAAAAAAAAAAAAAAGAGAGGAAGAAGGGCTGTATTCTGTATTTTCAGTAGCATCTCTTTTTTTTTTTTTTTTTTTTTGAGACAGAGTCTCACTTTGTTGCCCAGGCTAGAGTGAGTGCCGTGGCGTCAGCCTAGCTCACAGCAACCTCAATCTCCTGGGCTCGAGTGATCCTTCTGCCTCAGCCTCCCGGGTAGCTGGGACTACAGGCATGCGCCACCATGCCCGGCTAATTTTTTTATATATATATCAGTTGGCCAATTAATTTCTTTCTATTTATAGTAGAGACGGGGTCTCGCTCTTGCTCAGGCTGGTTTTGAACTCCTGACCTTGAGCAATCCGCCCGCCTTGGCCTCCCAAGAGCTAGGATTACAGGCGTGAGCCACAGCGCCCGGCCTCAGTAGCATCTCTATAACTAACATTTGAAGGGAAGAGAAGGCCTGAGAAAGGTCTTAGACTAGTCCAAGGGTGAAGAAGTAAATAGGTATTTAAAGAAGTGGAGATTATAACAATTTGGTGACAACAAACTTTACTTGTACTTAGAATTTTTTTTCCTTAATACTTGATAATATGCTAGTTGATCATATGGTAATAATATGCTGAGGACTTTTCCCAATTTATAATCTAAAGCAAAATTAACTAATGTATGTGGTGTTATTGAAATCCACTTAAAATGCATTAGTAGACGTATTGGTCCCACTAATACTAACACCCTGTTACCCACTCTGCTGTGGCATTTCCACTTTATTTTAAATATTTTATTTTATTTCAAAATGTTAAGGGGCTACAAATGTTTTTGTTATGTGGGTACCTTCTATAATGCTTAAGTTGGAGCTTTTAGTGTGCCCATCACCCAAATAGTTTTTCCACTTTAATATGGCAGTGTTGGTGCAACCCAGGTGTCAGGGGGGTGTCTCAGAGGGGTGAACCAACCTCCCAGAACTTACTTAAAACTCTTACTGATGGAACTGTCATGTTCACATAGCAAGGATATTAGAGAGGAGTTGAGAAAGCATTGCACGACACATATTCTAGTCTTTTCCTCTCTTAGTTTTTAGGGTCAATACTCCCTTTCTCTTGGAAATGAGAAGAGGATAGAAGCCGTTTTCCACTGTTCTGTTGAGAGGAGTTCCAAAATACTCACATTCTACCTAAGTGTAAGGGTGACCCCCTGACCATTTCCAGGTTAGGAAATACATTTATTTCTTTCCCTCATATGTTCCTCTCTACAAAGAGAATGCAAAACCATAATTCTTAACAGTTCCTCAATGATTATTCACTTTTGTTCTTCCATATTTCTCTAGTGAAGATTTAAATATTTAATTCTTTATATTCCTGGAATTAACTGCCTTCTGATGATGCATTTAAGTGCTGACGTTGTTAGAAGGGGGGAGAAACCCTCAACATTTTCAGGCATAAATCATTGTAAACCGTGGTTATAAAGTTTCCTCCTTTCCGAAATAAAGTGCTACTTTTTTGCTTGGAGACTTATTGTCATCTCCATGAAGTTATTACAGTGATATAGTAGCGTCATGATGCCTCACAAGCTCATAATTCTTCCTCATGCCCTGGCCTCTGTCCTGTCTACTTTTCTTGGTTATCATGTCTTAAAGCTCCTTTTGTATTTGCCTGTATCTGTAGATTTAGGAGAAACGAGATACTCCAGGTTCTAAAATCACCAAGCTGAATTTTATCAATTACTTATAATTCCTTGCTCTCCGCACCTAGCCAGCGTGGCCTGAGGTATTCATGGGCATGTTTGGGCTGATGGAGTCTGAGAGAGACCAGAAGCACTGTCCAAGGTTAAATAGAACATAAATATATAAAGTAAGGGCTGCCAGTATGCATGGCATTTTTAAATTTAGTAATAGCCCAAATGGGCATTGAATAAAATAATAAAGGTCGTTTCTCTGCTTAAGCCATTCACAACTCTGGCGAAGGTCCTGTTAATAATAAGATATTTTATAGGACTTCAGTGTTTACTGTAGCAAGGAGGAAAGTCTACACCTGTTAGACTTTCAAAGAGCTTCAAAAGCCGTCTCTAATCTAAGGCCAGGCCCAGGGCTCTGGAGTTGTCCCACACATCTGACAGACTTGTTTGCATACTTAGGTGGTCCCTAGGAGACAGAGACCTGTGATTTGGAGACATTGGTGGCATTTCTCTTCAGCTCCTGCCATCCCAGGAAGCAGAGGAGAGGTGGCCTTTTGGATAACATGTGTTTGTTAGCCTGCCTCTTCGGCTTCTGCTGAGCAGGTAGGAGCTTTGGAATTGCTGTGCGTACAACCAAAACAATTTCTAGCCTCACAAGACTGGTAAAAAGATAGAGTGACAAATTATACTTTGTTTTCCATGAAAAGTATTTTCCTTAAAAGTAGAAATACTGACTTATAAACGGGTCTTTTTCAGAAGGATTCTAAGTCTGACCTTTGAAACTCAGACTGTGTTTGTCGTAGAAACAGTGTGTGTTAGAGCTGGCTTTCAGAAGACCGTGCCCACCCTTCTTCCCATAGAGCCGTGGTGCCCAAGAGCCTTTTCAGCAGGTGGCAGGTGGTTATGAAGAACAGTCATCGTGGTTCACAGATAACAGGTGAAGATTTTGAGTAGAAGCTGGTCGTTATTTAACTGAGAAAATGAGGGTGCCTAGCAGAGGGCCTGGCGGTCACTGAAATCACTAAGGGAAGTGGTTCCAGAGAGCCCAGCTAAGAACTGAGGAGGGAAGTTAATGGTAAGTAAGGCGAGTGAGACTCCACTTGAGGAAGAACATTGTTGCAATCAGGACTGTCTAAAAATAGAACAAGCTGATTGATTTGGTAATAAAGCCTCTGTCACCTGAGATGTTGGAGCCGGGGATAGAAGGACCCTCTTTCTAAGGATTCTCCAGAGAGGAGCTGTGAGTTGGATAAAAGTTCGTAACAGATTACCGCTCCTTTTTCTCTTAACGTGGAAATGTAGTTCTTAAGACTCACATTTGTTTCCCAGTTTTTAATCGGAAAAGATAATATAATTCCACAGCATTGAACTAATTTAAACAAAGGTAAATAACCTTTTATAACCCGAATACAGTATGACCTTTTTATTTTATTCTTATGTTCATCATTTGCATCATCTCTGTAATTTCTTTAAATAAGGGACAAAACTTAACCTAATAAACAAAATGTTAATTTCCCATTGTAAGGATCATAATATTAACTTAGTCATAAGCTTTTATACTTTTTAAGTATCGATAATCATAAGATAGCGGTATGTTTAGGTTATTCCTTGTTCACACGTTTAAATTCATTATTATCAGGAACAAAATCATATTTGGAACATGTAGGCATCTTACATAATTTAAACTTTTCATTGTTTCAGGATTTTGCCTTTAGTATTTCTGTACATTAGTGGTCCTTGAGGATTATCTAGGGCCAAGTTCTTTTAACTTTTATAATTAGTGTGTTGGAATCCCAGTTTTTCCTACCCTAGGGTGGACTGCGTTTTCCACAATTAACTGATAAAGGGCGATTGGCGGTGGGCTGGGGAGGAGAGACTTCCAGTTAACCAGAGAGCCTGTCACTTACTCTCTCGCCTTTTCCTAGGTCACCAATTTTCAAAGAATTTGAGTATAATTAAATACACTTCATAATAAACCAGGCTGAACATAATTTAATCTTTCCCTGAAGGTACTTCAGAGTCTTGGAGTGCTTTAGGGTCATGGTGAACATCAATTACCTTCTCACGGTGGGTGTGCAGAGGGAGGTAGTTAATAGCGATCCGTGTGATGGCTTCCTGGGTGACTGGACATGTGTTCTGTCATTACAGGGAGCTCAGTGTCAAGGCTTTGGGGCTGATGCTTAATGTTACGTTCTCAGGCAGGAGAGAATGGAATAAAGATGACCTCTTTGGCTTTGAGAGGCTGAAAGTTCACGACAATTCAGATGTATGTGGTATATATATGGCATTTTTTTGGTTTCCAAAGTGCTTTCACATACCTTGACTTCCATTATTTGTTTCTTATGACAGTTCTGGAAAGGAAGCAAGGCAGCTGGTATCCCGTTTTTTACAGATGGGGAAAATGGAGCTCAGGAAGCTTCTAAAGTCATACAGTCTATCAGTGGCTGAGGCTGTTTGACTCCAAATTCAGTGTTCTCTTTAGTATTCCAAAGGATAGTAAACATTTACTCCCGGTTATTATGTTATCTGTGCTCTATGTGCATTGATTCATTTAATCCTTACAGTGGCCCTGTGAGTAGGTAGGTATCAGTTCTTTTGGTACTATTACGATTCCGGAATGTCTTCAGAGCCCAAGACGTGGATGCACAAGAGGTTAGGGCATGCACTAGTGAGCGGCAGAACTGAAACCTGAACTTAGGAGTTTGAGCTTTAAAGCTCACACTCCTCATCATTATGCTACATGGCTGCCCAGTGCAGGGTACACAGAGGATAAGCAGAAGGAGGAAGTTGCTGTTCCTTTTCTTCAATGCATTGACAATGGCCAAAACTGTATTACACTTTTGTAAGAATTAGATATCTGTACTCACTGTATGAATGTGTGTGTATTAATTGGATGTAATTATCTTTTTTGAGTCTTTAAAATAGGCAAATCTTATAATTACATTTGTTAATAATTATTATACCTACCTAAACTTGAGTTATAATTTTATCTCATTAGATAACTGGCAAGTTACCTGAGAACTCAAAGTAATCATCCGAATTATTTGCCATACACTTAATTCGTGACTGTACTATAGCTGCTAAGGTAGGGGTGTGAATTTAAAAGCACCAAGATCGGAAATCAAGCAGGTGGGAGGAGAGGAGGGGATGGGTAAATTCACACCTAATGGGTACAGGGCACACTATCTGGGTGACAGGCACATTTATAACTTTAACTCAAACTGTGCAAAAGCAATTTATGTAACCAAAATTTTTGTACCCCCATGATATTCTGAAATTAAAAAAAAAAAAAACACCAAGAGAAATGTTTATCTCAGTGGTTGCAAACAGGTTGATCATATATACTACATAGAGCTTATTAGAAGTATCTATCTGAGCCTTTTGGGGCTGCTATAACAAAATACCATGGACTGGGTAGCTTCTAAGCAACAGAAATTTATTTCTCCCAGTTCTAGGCTGGGAAGTCCAAGATCGAGGCACTGGTAGATTCAGGGTCTGGGGAGGACCCATAGTCTGGCTCATAGATGGCACCTTCTCTTCTTCTGTGTCCTTACCTGGTAGAAGAGGTGAGCAGCTCCTGGGGGCTTCTTTTATTAATCCCACCCATGAGGGCACCTCCTGGGGCCCATCTCCTATTACCATCACTTTGGGAGTTAGGATTCAACATACGAATTTTGGGAGGACACAAACATTTAGACCAGGGAATTCACAATGATTGCTTTTATTCTGTCTGTGCCTGGAGCTTCCATTTACACTCTATTTCAACTACATTTGCTTGTTTTATATTTGTTCAGGGTATCTTCTCAGTGAGTATTTATTTATCATCCTTTAAAACGTATTCTTGCCATTGTGTTTCAGGCTGTCAATTCTTTGTAACTCAGGAACTGTGCTGGCTTAACTAATGGTACCTACTTAATAGATGAAACTGATAGTAACTGTTTAATAGGTGCTTTACATATTTAAAACACCTCAGCTTTTTATAAACACCAAAAAAAAAAAAAAACCCTCAATCTTTTAATGTTCTTTTAAATTTCAAATAGGTCTTTTTTCATTTCCCTGTACAGAAAATTATAATACTGCATATGCATTTTCAAACTATGCATATTTCTTCTTCATTCCTCGTAGGAGCTTTTTATTCATTCTTTCAGTAAATTTTACTTAGCTTGTTCTCTAGGTTTAGGCAATGTAATGTGATCAAAACGGACACAGTTCCTACCCTCAGGGAGCTCTGCTCCCGTACACAGGGATGACAGTGATGAGGCAGATAATGACTTGGGACTTACCTGATTCCAAAGGGATATTTTTGTGACACTTACAATGAAATTCTAACCCAAACCATCCTTTTCATTACAGAATTCAGGAAGGTTGCATCGCATTATTTCACCTCGCATTTTAAATGTAACAAGAGGCACAAATATTGACCACAAGCACTACCATAAGTTGTTTGTTGACTCTCTTATTGTCTCCCTTCTTAACTCCCCTTTTTTCCTTTGTGTCATTCTTAGTTTTTAGAGCTTAGTCATCAACCTTTCCTACAATGTAACCAGGCGATCTAAGGCCAGGAGGGGCAGGTTGTGTTTGAGCTGCATCCCTGTAATCTTTCAGGGTGTGGGAGGGGAGAGACTCTGCCCCACTTGTGGTCAGCTCTCCCTTTAGGCCCTGCCAACTAGATTTGTGCTGATTGAACCAGTATGTCTCGGCAGGTCACTCACTCTCTCTCTCTCTTTCCACCTCCATTTTCTCATTTTTAGTAGAAGAGTTGAAATCGCATGATTTTCTAAGGCCTCTGCCAATGCTACAGTTCTGTGATTCATATGTTCCTGAACAGTTGAGTGTACTTTTTCCTCAATAAATGGAAATACATTTTCCGATGAGCCTGGAAATATATTTTTCAATTATCCTCTCCCATGGTTTATGACTTGCCATCAATGTGTTGGGAGCTCCAACATTGCTGCTGCTCTAAGCCCATCAAGAGGTTAATTACCTGTGAAGAATGAGGAACTGCTGGGGGATAGCTGTAAAGCCTTCCAGAGAAACTTTGGAGTCAATCCCCCTGGTAATGTGAATCAGTCTCCTTCATGTGTCTAGTTGCCAAGTGGAGGAGGAAGAGTCCTGGGCTGGGAGGACTGGAGGAAGGCAAGTTGCTGATAGAGTTGAGTGCTGAAGGTCGTGAATCAAGCTCATGGTGATTGTCTTCTTCCCCAATCAGGGCACAAATAATATTTTAAACAACAACAACAACTGGGGCCAGGTGCAGTGGCTCACACCTGTAATCTCAGCACTTTGGGAGGTTAGGGTGGGAGGATGGCTTGAGGCCAGGAGTTTCCAGACCAGCCTGAGCCAGAATGAGATCCCTGTCTCTACCGGAAAAAAAAACAAACAAAAAAAAAACCAAACAAACAAAAAAAGAAAAACAAAAACCCAAATTACCTAGGCATGGTGGTACATGCCTGTATTCCCAGCTACTCAGGAGGCTGAGGCAGGAGGATCGCTTAAGCCAGGAGTTTGAGGTTGCAGTGAGCTATGATGACACCACTGCACTCTAGCCTGGGGCAAGAGTGGGACCCTGTCTCAAGAAAAAGAAAATCAACTGAATGAGCCTG